CCCCAAAACCCCAAAACCCCAAAACCCCAAAACCCCAAAACCCCAGGATTTGGAAGAATATTTTAGTGCTTTTTAATAAACATGCCTTATGAGGTTAGCTTATTGGTACAACCCGAGCGCTTCAAGAACCTTGTCAAACTTCTCAGGAGGATTTGGAGCCGAGACTGATACATACTCTAGTTTGTCTCTAAGAGATTAAATAGCTATCCTTACCTCTTAATTAGCTTATTTGAGGTCTTTATCTCTCTATTTTTTCCAGCCTGGAGGGGAACTTTGATCTCTTTAGAGTGCAAAAAAATGCTTTGCCTTAGCATTTGCCTCTCAAAATCTCTGCTATACTTCATAACTTTCTGGAACAATCCTCTTGTGTGTAGATTTGAATATCCATATAAAGAGTCACCGAGGATTGGTGTTTCCATAACAGAGGATAAATGCTTCCTCAGCTGATGCTTCTTTCCTGTTAAAGGTTCAAGTCTATACAATTATTAACAGGCATACTCATATAAAGTATAAGCTTCTACATCTTGGAGATTTGTATCTAAAAATTCTTGTACAGCATAAGGCTTCATTTTGTCTTTTTGCTCTCTCTGTCTAACATTGAAGCTGAAGAAGCATTGTCTTTGTCGATCATATAGAGCAAACCCTAGTATCTGATAAATTGTTGATAATGTGCATCTATTTAAGTTATTAGAAGCCTCTACCTTTTCTCTGCAATATCATCAATGATCTTATGCTCAGGCATTCCTTCGAACATTTGTAACTTTTGACACTCCGTAAATAAGAATCTCATTTGATCACTCATCAATGATAATTTTGGGTTCAGAATATTGTGATCATATACATGACACTCTGGATCAGACCTGATCATGCCAGAAAGAAAGTGGGAAATATTGGCAAGATCTCAGTTATAATCTTCATTCAGTAAGTAATTTGGTAAGCCTTGACCAAGAGCTATATAATTTTTCTTAATTCTTTTCTCTCTCATCATTCCATTAAAGCTTCTTGCATAATGAACATTTTTGCCCAATATCATGGCTCCAGAGGCATATTGGTCCAATCTATGCAGCAGGAATGATTTTCTTCTTTTCCCATATCTTTTCATGTATTCGTTGACAATTTTATCGATATGCTCATCAATGCCATCACCTCCTTGGCTTGCTATGGAGTTTGGCTTGTTAATTCCCTAGATATTATGCTGTGAGATGCTTACAATCATATCATCGTTCTCAAACAAGAGTATTTTAGACATCATTTTCTGATTTTCTGTGGTCTGCTGAACCCTTTCTTCCTTTTTCTTCCTTCTATTTTGTGCAATTGCCTTCTTCCTCTTTGACATTAACTAGAAGTTACACAAAGGATAGAACTTTCTGGTCAATATAAATTTTGTCACCTCTTTGGAGACGATATGACTTCTCTTTCTCCAAGCTTTGGTAGTTTGATGCTACTGTTTCGACATAAAATGCATCACCTAGGTTATCAGATGAGTCATAGAATACCGTCAACTTCTTTGCATGCTCTATGAACACCGCCATAAGTAAGATCGAGCTTATTTTTGAATATATCTTGGATGAAGGACCAAAATTACCTGTCTAGCCTGATCTGTTGTTCTCTAGTATACAAAAAGACTCTTGTTGAGAGACTCATTCTTGGAAGAAAGCAATATGCCTCAAAGGAACACTATAGAGTAACTTTCACTAGAAATACTCTTTGTATCATTCTGGTATTTCTGACTACAGCGAACATATCAGTGGCTTAAAATAATTATATTAAGACTTGGGGTTTTGGGGTTTTGGGGTTTTGGGGTTTTGGGG